AACTTCAACGTCTTTTAATTGTAGCTTGACGACAGTTTAAAAAGTAAGCATCTGCATGCCCACACACTAATCCCTTCAACTTCAGAGGTCTGTTTTGGTCACCTTACCTTGTCGCTATTTGGCCTTCTAGACCAGAACAGCGGCGCTCTACCAGTATGGCGACTTCGGCAATCTCCGGAGAAAATAACGAAAATGATCAAATAACGTATACCGCAAAATATTTATTTTTTTCCAAAGAGACTAATTTAATTTTATTCTATACCAAATACATCCATTTTGCCTAGCATATGTCATTATTATTTTTATTTTGATATTAAAGAACCTTTCACCTTTAACCTTCGTTTCGTCACTTCCTACATGAATGAACGTATTTACCTAGGTATTGCATTAATTTCTTTTTCATGTAAAGTCAGAAAACCCCCATCAAAATAGTATAAAGTGAGAAGATAAAGAAATATTGCTTTTTATTTTTTTGAATATTGATTAAAATGTAGAATTCTTCTCTGAGAACCGCCTGACGCGTTTAATTTCTCTTCGTTTCCACACGATAAGCTCTGTCAAATCATTGCTTCTAGTTTAAACTTTTACTGGGATTCTGCGAGAACTTTCACACATCAATTAAAGTCTCTCCGAAGTGCTTCGGACGTGCATTTCTTAAGGCTGTGTGTTTGAGACACGACGGATGGATCTTTCTCGTCATGCAAATTCAAAGTTGGATAATTTGTCATTTTCCCCTAACACATTGAAAACTTCGAATAAGATTCGTTCATTATATTATATAATAGGTAGTTCTTAATAAATTAGTTGTCCGAGGAGGTGAGGGTGGAGCCAGTGTTGTCGTCAGAGGTATAAATGTCATCGTAAGAAGAAACTCGTTCCTTCTCTCTTCCTGCTGGACCGCTGGTGTGAAGAAATCGTACCCCCGGGTCTTTGAAACGAGGTCTGCACAACAAATCTAATACAATGGGCTTTGGAGATCTTAAAACCCCGGCCGGCTTGAAGGTCCTCAACGACTTTTTGGCTGATAAAAGTTATATCGAGGGGTCTGTACACGGTATACGTTTTTTTTTTTAATTTGCACGTTGGGAAGTTTTTTTGAGCACGCCTCACGAGTCATGTTAGCCGTGACACGTTGGCGCCAGATTAAACGAAAGGGGATTTTATCGTTTAAAAACTACAAAACCGGATTAATAAAATCACCGATGTTAGTTTTTTCCTATTTAAAAACGGGTGTAGTTCGCGATTCTGTTACGTAAA